GAGGTTTGGCCGAGATGGGACAATAAGCCGAAAATGCATTGATAATGTAGCATATCCATCCACGGTTCAAATCGAAAGAGAATAAACTAATGCCACTGTATTGGCGACATTGCATTCCTACTTTCTACATTCCTTAAAGATCCCTTAACAGTTGAGAATTGAATACGAGTAGGCCAATGCCGCTGTCCTGGCAATATTTACCTTTTTTGTACACATTGTGGTGTGGTTTGTTTTCATCAGCACAATCTGGTACCGAAAAATAGGACGTTAAACTCCATTCATTTCCATTTGTTTGGGATATCATCATGTCAAACACACACACACACACACACACACATCTCATCCACCCACCCACCCATATATATATATATATATATAAAATAAACATAAGCTAAACTATGAAGCCAAAAGCGCCACTAGTAAATGTATAATAATTTACGCCAAGTGTCCTGGCTAATTATTGCTTGTGGTAACGCATTACGTATACGTATAGATAAACCCAGAATCCCTATGTTATCATCTAAAGTGTATTGTATGAAGTTACGCAATATACATTTTACTATAGTAGACCCCCAGATCTTCTAACAGGGGAGATGTATCATGAGTTCAAAATGTTTGGAACCAGGATAAAAGTATATTCTAAAACCATCACTTGTCACTTGTTTGGGTGAAGATATCTGCACAGAACGTGCAATGAGGTAAATTTTGCCTAGATGGCGGATCGATTGTGACCTGTCGTGAGAGCTTGAGATAGCTAACCTGATGTCCGATTTTCGCTCTTAAAAGTGATACATAGCTTTAATTTGGTTCTTATAGCAGGTCAAGTAACAAATTTTGAAGTTGTCTACGTTATATGATTTCTTTAATTTGACAGCCAGGGACATTTCATAATAGCATGACAACTTTCACGATATAATACAAGGGAAGTAAGTCTACATTAATTAAATGACAGTATTTCAATTCTACTTGTCGCAATGTGAATCTTCCCTGTGAATTAAATATAATAGAAAATATTTTTCTGCACCTCCAGAATATGAAATTTATAAATTTGAAAATATTTCTTAAACATGCTATTTACAGCTATATGTATTTTTATTTACTTGATCAGACTGAATTTGTTAGACTTGATATTTTTTATTTGCAACCCTTAAAATACGCTGGAGACATAATTGTCTACAAAGGCGTCCGTTTTGTTTAATTATACAGTAGGCTAGTTTCATAACACCTACCAAAAATGATAACGAGCTTCAAAAGTTTAAAAGTTTACGAAAACCTTTTTAAGTGATACTACGTCTTAGTATGAACAGAAAATTGAAGTTCTCAAGAATGGTCAATATGAGTATATATTCATCAGTGAACTTACCTGGTGTCATAAAGTTACTACAGAATCACTGTAAAATCTGGAAAATAAGAAAAAATTAGAAAATTCATAAAACTAAGTAATTTTTTAATATTAAGCGTTTTTCAATAGTTAATTGCATTTTGTGGATATTTACTAGGTTTTTGGATTAATCGGATTATATAAGGATCGTGTTATGTTATTTATGACACCAGGTATATCTATTGATGAATATATTATGCTCTTATTGGCCTAGTTTAAAATTTTATAAATGTTTTATGTATTCTAAGACTATTTAAACTCTTTGGCGTTTAAAAAAACTTAACGGCGGGATTTCTATAGTTAAAACTTTCTCTTTAATTTGGTGAAAAAATTTTTACCTGCGAAAAACTAGAATGTCCCTTTAAAAATGTCGATGAATTTTTATTCTTTTTCGATTAATTTTAATAAAAAAAATTTACACAAAAGAGGTTTGTAAGGATTCATTTGACAATATTCTCAAGTGTAAAATAAAAAAAAATCCACATTTATAATTTGTACAAGTCCATGCTTTACTCATGTTTCATGTTTTATTCAAGCAAAACAAATCAACTGTTACAGCCAAACAACTAACAAAAAAGAACAAACAACTAGAACTATGAACAACTCCGAACGTGGCAACGAGACATTATCCCATGTCTTTTGGACCTTTCTAGACTTCTAACTGGTGTGATAGATTGATTTATTAATATGTAGTTAATTAGAATATTGTTAAAGTATATGATTGTTCAGATTGTTAGAACTGAGCATAATATGGTTGTATTTGAAACAGAATATAGTTAAGTCATTTGGTTTGCTTTGCACGTGCAGATCTACTTTCGTTTTAACAAGAACGTCGTCATCGCTAGCAGAAGTATAACACGCGGTAAATAATTCCCACCCACCCTTTCTAACCCTTATGTTTTGTATTTGTATATGTAAATCAAATAATGTTATTTGCATTTTGTTTGAGGAATTGTGCATTAATATCGATATGTATTGCCCAAGTTGAATTGATATTTTATAGTGTGCAAATAAAATATCCGGATCTCCTAAACCCGTGTTTTGTTATTCTTTGATTGAGAATTAATAATAAATCAAGTCCAGTAATGTCACATCAAAGGTCTCAATTTGTAAAGAATAATATGAAAAAAGGTTACGCGTACGGACGTAAAAAAACGCAATCAACACGAGAGGGCACACAGGCGAATATTTATGAACGATTTTTATACGCCCACATCAATTTTATTTTATTTTTATTTATTTTATTTTTTTTTTTACTCTTACTTTTATAATTATATTTACAACTTAATCACTATTTTGTATATCCATAAATTTGTTATTTATTTTTACTTGTTTACTATATTGTATGTATTTTATGTATATTTGTTTTGTTATTTTGTAAACTTTAAAATTCTTGTGAAATTTATTGTATTCATGGAGAAGGGTTATATAGGCGAATGCCTGTTCCCTGATCCCATTCATACTTTTTATGAATAAATTATTGTTTACAAAAAAAAAGAAATGGGGGTGCGTATATTGCTGTAATATCACCAAGGATGAAACCTATCAAAAATCAGAAGAATCGAAGGAGTTGCTGTTCTTGAGAACGCGTTCTTTTTTTAGCTCGTAAACACACAGATTGTGACGAAACTTGGCATGAGTGTTTTTCATCACCCAAGGATAAACCCAATTGTAAATCTGAAAAATTGAAAATATTAAGTCGGGAGTTATTGCCTTGTTCTTGAAAACTTGTTCAATTTTTAGCTCGTAAACATTTTAGAAGGCTCAATTCTTGACGGACTTAGATGAAACTTAATGAATGAACCCTATCGAAAATCGAAAAATATTTCATAGGAGTTATTGACCTCGTTCTTGAAAATGCTTTCAAATTTTAGCTCTTAAACTCTAAAAGGCACGATTCTTGTCGGTACCACGCTGAAGGTTGCATAATTGCCTTCTAGAGTTTTCACGAGCTAAAAATTGAACTCGTTTTCAAGAACAAGGGCAATAACTCATACTCAATAATATCCAGTATCGCCCCAAAGAGTTCAAAAGAAGTGTATGACTGAAGGTTGAATATTTCATACTGGTGATTGTTACTGTACTGCCAAATATTTTTATTCAAAATCAAAGCTGCCAGTGGGCGTATATTACCTTGCCTGGCAAGCTATCTAAAATTCGCCGCCTTCGGGCAATAAAATACGATCGTCTACCTCGATTAAAAGAAATAATTCGGGTGAAGAGTCTTATATCGGGTGGTCCAGAAAAAACGATAACACTTTTAATAACAGGATTTTTCAAAAAGTATCAAAGCTATGATCATAATATACTGGGCCACCCGATATATTTTAGCATTCGTTATAGACTCAAATATAGTTTTGGTTTGGCCTAAAATCTATATATGGGCATAAGTGGCCATATCAAATTGGGTTGGCCTTATTTTCCTAACTTTTATGTGTGCTAGCTCTGTGTTGACACCAATTTCATAATGGCATAGATTCACCCGAGGGAAATGTTGATGAAATAATTTTAGGAGATAAAATAAAACTTCTACTTGTGAACAAGAAATTAAAACCTCTCAAATTTAGCAAAGTCTTGAATTATTAAAAGCAATAAAAACTTCTTTGCAATTATTACAATTCCGATTATTGGCAGTTTATAACCTTGTATCAATGATATTGTCTATCAGTTTGAGCCCATTCTCATCAGGGCAAATTCCCATTTAAGCATATTATTTTCTCGTAAGGG